GGAGGGAGCCTGGCGTTCGTCCTATGCAGAGATGCCTGACTTTCATACATTCATCAAACTTGTTTTGAGAACCTTCTATGTGACAGGCACTGGGGTAGGAAAGTGTGTAATTAAAAAAAAAACCAACAACAACAAAAAATAAAAATAATAACAGAATTCTTAACATATTGCGGACGGATCATGAGAATTCTCGTGTTTTCTGTTCTAAAGCTTGTGGCCAATCACGAGAATTCTTTAAAAAGATATTAGCTTGTAAGAACATGTAATAAATAACTTCAAAATGCAAAGGGTATTTAATTTTAAAGCATGCCTTTACCATTTACATAAAACGCTTTTTGTACTCCTTCAATAGAAACTTATCTGGCCACTGGGTAAAGCTAGCAATGAAACAACTGGTCCGCAATGTGTTAGGAAGGGGACATCTGTTTGGGAAGACAGAACACGCTAACGAGTATACCATGAGGTGATGGAGACAGACGTCATGAAACAATGCAGGTGAAATGATGGGGGATGCAAGAAAGGGCTGGTCACTGGCGCCTGGAGAGCGGAGAGCAGCTCACCCCTGGGTGCCTTTCGCCATGTGTCGGAGAGCTCACCTCCCACAGCGCCTTTTCCTCCCTTCTCTGGAACTGACCCCACTCACTGGCGAGAGGCAGGGTCCGAGCACCGGCTCCAGAGCTGGGCTGCCTGGGTTCAGATTCCATTCCACCTGGTATTCTTTGTGGGGCCTGGGTCAATCCCTTCCACCATGCTGCGCCTCCTCTGTAAACGTTTCCTCGTCTATGACATGGGGATAGAGCTTGGCCAGGGTGGCTCAGTAGGTTGAGCACTGTCCCATGCACCAAAAGGTTGCTGGTTTGCTACCTGGTCAGGGTACATGCCCAGATTCTAGGTTTGATTCCCAGTAGGGGGCGTACAGGAGGCAGCTGATGGATGTTTCTCATCCATGTTTCTATCTCTCTCTCTCCCTTCCTCTCTAAAAATTTAAAAAACAAAACAAAAAAAACAAGCATTTAAAATGTGGGTAAACAGAGCAGCTATCAACAAAACTGCTATGAGCATGAAAGGATCGAATCTCGGTGCTCACAACATCACAGGGTCAGCACTGCCTCCCACAGAACGCACATCACAGTGGCGGGCACACAGTAGGCATTCAGAACGACTAAATGAAAACGCAAAAGGAAAATGCTGCACTTGGGAAGAGAAGAGGGAGCCAGATTTCATCAGCCCAACGAGCTGAGGGTGAGAGCATTCCTCTCAAGAACCTTTCATGTAGCTGAGGATGTGGACACCCTATTCCACGTCAAGTCTAGAAACCACTCAGCATGGTAGGAAAATAACTGTAATTGGATAGCTTTTGACGTTACAGTAAATGGAAAGAAGTTCACTCCCTTTCAATGTTCTGGAAGCAAAGCAATTCCTTAATAAAAGGGAGGCTGGCATTTCAGGGCTGGGAGCAAACCCACTCACTGCCTGGGGGTGGGAGCTGTGACTTGGCAGCACAGCTGGCCACGACATTGCACGAGCCTCCCCCAAGGGTCCCTGTAAGTCCCTTTAACTGGAAGCCAGTCACCTGTACAGGAAGCGGGGAGGGGGGTCACAGGAAGGCACACCTGCTCTAGCGAAGGCGTCTAGCTTAGGCAAAATCCTGTTCCAGTCCTAACGCAGGAAGCAGAGAGATGAGGCTGGAGTAACAGGCTTTCAGGCCTGGCTGATAATCCGTTTTGTCCACAGGGCAGGGGTCCTGGTCTGTCTGCCATGCCAAAGGGCAGCCAACGGCCTATCCACCAGTGGACTGTGCGGTCAGCTGTCTACCAGCCCCAGCCCACATTCAGGGCTCATTGCAATGCCTACGACTTTCGGTTGAAACTGCCTCCACACCCCCTAACCCCCACCCCCCACCTCAAGCCCAGAGCCCTCAGGGAACAGGATGAATCGTTGTTTCTCACATGCCGAGATCACATTTACTGCTGTCTAATCATCGAAACTTTTATAAAAGCTATGAGACAGAACTTGTCCTTAACCCTCAAGCGTAATTCATCGGCAACAGCACCCTAAATGCAACTGAAACTGTCCTCGAGGTCCCGGGGCTGTGACTACGGCGCTGTCCCCTGCGGGTGTCGGGCAGGCTAGGACGGGCAGAAGGGTCCTCCTCCCCCACGTGCAAAGCTCCCGCGCCCCTTCATTGAGGGTTCAATTGACTGAGCAAGTTAAGTCTCTACACAGAGCAGGCTGTGGGCAGCATTATCGCCCCTGGGGGGTCCCGGGCCAGTGGTTCTCTGACGCCAGGCAAACGTCCTGGCCGAGATGAGAAGAGAAATGAATGCTGGTTGCCGGGGCTCTTGTACACCAGGCACAACACCATCAGTGCTTTTCCGAGTCCTCACCGGGACCAGCTAGGCCAGGGGTGGGGAACCTTTCTCTGCCAAGAGCATTTGGCTATTTATAGCATCATTCAAGGGCCAGGCAAAATTATCAACTTCAAAATTAGCCTGTTCTATGTGGTCAAACATTTCATTAACGCACCCCTAATGCCTTGGCAGGGCCAGACCAAATGATTTCGTGGGCCTTATGCGGCCCATGGGATGGACGGTCCCCATCCCTGTTTTAAATCATAGCATGACTAGGTTCCTGGCATGCTATGTACTTATTATTTGTTTATTTCCCGCCTCTTCCCAGGAGCATGCAGTTGTAGGAAGCAGCTGGCTTGTCTGCCTTGCTTAGGGGCTCGATAAGTGTTTACTGAATGAATGAGCCAAGCACAGTTACTTCAGATATCAGGTCGCTTTAATCCTCCGCGCCCACAAGTGAGGTAAAGTCCTTCTACAGACAAGGATGCTGAAGGCGGTTACTGCATGGAGAGCACGGTGCCTCCGACCAGCGGCCCAGGTGAGCTCAGCCCTGCCCATCCCTGTGACACTGGGCAGGTCACCAACCAATCGCTGAGGCTCCGTACCTGGACCTGGCAGTAATGATAGCAGTACTGTCTATGGAGTTGCTGACAGAAGCTCAATCATATAAAAAGCTTAGAACGTTCATGGCTCGCAGCAGCGCTAAACAAGAATCAGATAAATAGCATCTCAGCTGAGGAACCTTACAAAAATAACCAAGTTCCTCATTCCGATTTCGTGCTCATGTGACAAGCTCCTGGTTACAACCCGGCTTCCCGGTTCACCGTCTACAAAGGAAGTAACCACACAGGTGGCTCCCCCGGCCTGTGTGACCAGCTACGCGTTGCTCATCACACACGAATCCACCTGTGTTCCTGTTTGACGGGCTAACAAAATCCGGGATCTGAACCAACAGGACTGAGGCCCAAACCCGGACAGCATCACAAAGGCACACCTTGTGTGGTTGCTTAGCAACCTCCTAGCCACCGTCTCCAAACACTACAACTGTTATCCAACTCTCCATCACACGAGCTGTTTAGCTGGGAGAAGGAAGTGCCATCACCGAAGACACCTCTTCTCTGATCAGCAGAAGATGGTGAGAGGTTACAGGGGAAGTGTATCCAGGCAAACACGACTGTCTCACGAGCAAAAGCCCCCACACTGTCCTCCGCACACACTGCTTCCGAGGTGTGTGGTGACCGTTTTAGAGACAGCCTGCTGGTCCAGGTTTCGCTCGAACCCAGGAGATGGCCTGTGTCACCTCACAAAGGGCCTCCCCCCGATGTGGAGGGCAGAGCCACATGCCCGGGCCGCTGCACGTTACCTTGCCCTGATGGTCGTGTTTCATTTCCCAGCCCCTGGGCAGCTCCAGCTGTTTGTTGGCGAACATGTTGAGAAATCCCACAAGGTCCCGGTTGTGCTGGTAGCGTTCAAAGTGGTGGGTGTCCCGCCGGACTTTGGTGATCATGTGCTTCAAACACGTGTTGTTTGTAAACATGCGGTAGGCACTCTGGAGAAAAGATGGAGAACCAAGGTTAACCCCTGGGGCAGGCAGGAGCCACATATACACATGGGTGTGTCTGCTCCTCTGGTGGGCAGAGAGCCTCCCACGTAGCTCTAGACCAGCCGTGGGCAAACTACGGCCCGCGGGCCGGATCTGGCCCGTTTGAAATGAAAAAAACTAAAAAAAAAAAAAAAAGACCATACCCTTTTATGTAATGATGTTTACTTTGAATTTATATTAGTTCACACAAACACTCCATCCATGCTTTTGTTCCGGCCCTCCGGTCCAGTTTAAGAACCCATTGTGGCCCTCGAGTCAAAAAGTTTGCCCACCCCTGCTCTAGACCCACACACGGGAAGGGCAGACACAGAACAACATGTTTTGATCAAAATCATATGGAAAGGCTACAGAAAGCAAGGCTGCCTTTTCCAATGAGGTTTAGGTATCTAGTGAGTACGAAGGCCATGGAGTCTCATTCTGTAGGGAATGTCAGATCCGACGTTTTCACCTAACTTCAGTTTTAGGCATAAAAAAAAAAATACATAGTCAAAATCACACCAGGCTGAAGACAAATATACCACCTTCCAGTGAGCCCCCAAGAAGCCAGCTTCCCTCCAGCACCGGGACAGATCACTCACGTGAGTGCCCACGAAGCAGCTGGCACACACTTAGAAGTCAGGTGGTGGGGGAAAGTGCTCGGCCATGTGCTTGAATATGAGAAGCACATGCAATGGGGCTGAGCTGCTCTCACAGTTGAGCTGTGTTCATCTGAGACCACAGGAGAGTGAGGCATAGGCTCTGGGAATGGAATGGAAGACAGCACTATCTGGATTTTATACCTCTTACATATATATATTCTTTCCATTTTTCCTGTATATGTGTATATACAGACACACACACACACACACACACACACACACACACACACACACACACACACACACACACACACACAAATATATGGCCCAATTTATATTATTGAAAATGCACATGTAATAAAATTCGACTACAAAACCACACAAAAAAGTGTTTTGTCAAAAACGCCACAGTCTTCATCTCTATGCTACCTAAGGAATATCCTGAAAACGGACCATAAGCCATGGGTGGTCCACATAGAAGTCGGCCAACGAACATTCACGGCACAATACCATGTGCCAAGGAGGGAACAGGAATAACTATGAAACTGACCTGGCCAGGAATGCTCTGTCCTAGAATTAAACTCTCTTCTCAGGTCGGTTCAAAGGGCTTTTAATCCCTCTTCCCTGGATCTGGAGACCTACAGGTTTTACTTCCTGGGTTATGTTAATTTCCGTCTAAGACAGACTAAGGCAAACCCCACAGAAACCAGAATCCCTGGACATCATTTCATTCTGCCTCTGCCATGCCCAGTACTGTGGTAGTGACTGAGGATAATAGATAAGTGAGTATGAGGACCATCCACATTGCTCCTAAGTGTCCAGGGTCCCTTGAGACGTGTCATGTCCAGGTCAACGCATTCATTGCCAATGTGAGTCCCTCTTGAGCTTTCTTTCCTTTGGCACAGTGACTGGCAATGTTTGGAAAGGGACCCAGCCTGGGCCCCTGGGGTCTCTGAGTGGCTACAGAGATCATAGAACCCTGACAATCCAACTTGCAATGCGAAACACAGCTTTGTTAGTTTGTCAATGAGATGTGCTATTTGCCATTACTGACATGTAACCTACACTATCCTATATAATAAAAGCCTAATATGCAAATCGACCAAATGGCAGAACGACTGGTTGCTATGACGTGCACTGACCACTAGGGGGTAGACGCTCAATGCAGGAACTGCCCCCAGCCCACAGGCCCCAGGCCAGCCAAGGTGGGTGCCAGTGGAGGCCCCCCGATTGCCCCACCAGTCACTCCACAGATTGGCCCTGATCACCAGCCAGGCCTAGGGTCCCTGCCCATGCACAGATTTCGTGCACCGGCTTCTAGTATAAAACTATTATGTAGTTATTCTGATTGATTCACTCATTATATACTTTTTATTTTGCATTAAAATATTTTCTCGCTTTCGAGACGAAAGGAAGGAAAGAGGGAAGGAAGGAAGAACACATTGAACCATTCTCAAATACTAGCGTAGTCTAGTTCCCTAATATGCCTGAGTATACAGTATTTGGAGGTCACATTTCAACCTGCCTAACCGAAAGCAGGCTCTGACGGCTGTGAGAAACTGAGGTGCCCAGCACAGAGTCTGCCAAGCCGGCATGCCTGCACAGGGCTATGGGCAATTAGAGGGCATGAGAGAAAAGAAGGCGATAGCATGAAAGCAGAGATGGAGGCTAATAAAAGCAGTCGAAGGCTGTGAGAGGCGAACGTTAGCTAATTAATAATAGCTTAGATGGCTGACCCTGCCTTGGCGCTGAACGAACACTCGGCAAGGCATCTGTTTGCTGCACTTGGCTCTGAGCGGCGATCTATTTCCACAGAAGGCCCTGCAAGCTCAGAGGCCCAAGACCACACCGACCTGTCTGGTGGCAACGGCAATGAGCTCCCAGGTCACAGTGCCCAGTACGTCTCTTCGGGGACAAATGATGGTGGGATAACTCCATCCAATAAATCATTACATTAGCCATTGTTGTAAATCGGCACATCTCTTGATCCCCTCATTTCTCTCTCTCCACATTAAAGCAACTCAATAGGCCACATCCTGACCTTTATCTGGAGCATCAGGACTGCTCCTCACTCGCTACAGGGAAGAAGCAGAACTTCATTAGGACAAGCAGTGGCCGTAATGAAGTGAGGAGCCCGCCCCAGCCTCCGGCTGGAAGCGAGTCCCTGGGGTTGGACAGCTCTCCGCACCTGAGTCTCGGGCTGCTCTTCTAATTAATTGCGGCCTTTCATCTTCCTCCTCTCCACTCAGTGAGACATGTAATAGAGTGCCAAGCTCAACTGATCTTTGCAAAAAGCATCGACCAAAGCAAATTAAGTGTAAGGAAGATTTCTCTCTTTAGGAACTGGCAAGCAACCTCGAGCACCAGTGGTTTTCCCAGGCTGTGCAACATGCAGTGACTATTAGGGCCCATGCAGAACACTTGGCCAAACAGAAACACCCCTCCAGACGCTACACTTTGATGAAGAAACTACATATAGGTTTATTCATATACTAGAGGCCCAGTGCAGGAAATTCGTGCACAGTGGGGCAGGGAGGGGGTCCCTCAGCCTGACCGGCACCCTCTCCAATCTGGGAGCCCTCAGGGGATGTCCTACTGACAGCTTAGGCCCTCTCCCCATGGTTCTCTGCTGTCTGCGGGGCCCGCTTGGCTGCTCCCGGGTTGCCGCAGCAACGGCCAAGCGGGCCCTGCTCTTGCAACCACCCCCCGGGACTGGAGGACTCCAGCGGACTGGGCACTGCCATATTTATGTTGGAGTGACAGTTAATTTGCCGCAGCGACGGCCAAGCGGGCCCTGCTCTCGCGACCACCCCCCGGGACTGGAGGACTCCAGCGGATGGGGCACTGCCATATTTATGTTGGAGTGACAGTTAATTTGCATATTACTTTTATTAGATAGGATAAGTCTATTCTATTTTTGAATATATTTTACATGTTATTCAATATATATACTATTTGTGTATATGTGCATATATTTATGTACATATGTATATATATACATATGAATCAAAAACATATTAATACACTCAGTTAATATTGTCCTATAGTGAAGATTCTAGTCACAGTCCTGTCACTCATGACAGAGACAAAGGAAGTCATTTAAGCTCTGCCTCAATTGGCCCAGGTGTAGGATGAGATGATAACTGTCCTGCTCTCTTCATAAGTCTGTAGGATTCAAATCCAGTGGGACAAGGATCTAAAACAGCCGTGGGCAAACTACGGCTCGTGGGCCGGATCTGGCCCGTTTGAAATGAATAAAACTAAAAAAAAAAAAAAGACCGTACCCTTTTATGTAATGATGTTTACTTTGAATTTATATTAGTTCACACAAACACTCCATCCATGCTTTTGTTCCGGCCCTCCGGTCCAGTTTAAGAACCCATTGTGGCCCTCGAGTCAAAAAGTTTGCCCACCCCTGATCTAAAAGATCTATAAAGAGGTAAAAATAACTCTAAAAATACAAAGCATACGTAAGTAAATGAATATATATGGGATTATACCTACCATATCTATAACAGATGAATGATAGTAGTGAAGTTGTTTTCTACTCTGAGAACTTGGACGATCTTGAGCCAGAATCCCACTTCCTATGAACTGAAGAAGGGTCTCATCCCTTTTCATGAATTACGTGCTAAGCCCTGACCTAAAGACCTCGAGGACACAGAGATGAGCACGGCATGATGACTCAAAATGATGGAGAAGGAGAATCGCAGGGGCAGGAGGGAGGAAGAGGCTCGCCGAGGGAGAAAGCAGAGTTGGGGAAACAAAGGCCACAGGGGGGTGAAAGCACTGAATCCCACCGACAGGATGAGCAGAGCTAAGGACAGGGGTCCAGAGAGCCAGGAACACTGAGCAGGTGGGACCGGAGCGAAAGCGCGGACAGCGACAAGGAAAAGAGCCTCTGTTCTCTCTCGTCTCATGGTCCTCACTGGTGAGGACCCCTCTCTGTGCGGGGGTTGTTCTCTGCTGTGCTGTGTCCTGGTCTCATAGAAAAAGGTGCTTCACTGTGAAGGGATGTGATTTCCCACCTGAAACGCAGGAGGTTAGGGCAGCGCAAAGGGCCTTGCTTCACAGCACAGTCTCGGGGCAACGCACAGGCTGAGCTCCCCGGAAGCTGCTGCGTGTAAGGCGAGTCGGCAGTCGGTTGTTAATAGCAGACAGAGCCCCTCTGAATCTCTAAATGGCACAAGTTTTGTTTTCCTTTGATGTGATTTAAAACATACTTTTTGGTTAGTCCTTCTCTGTCCCAAAACGCCCTTTCCCAGCCTCCCTCTTGGTGATGTCTTCCCGGCAAGAAATGAACGCCCGATGGCTGAGTGACCCGTCAGCTCAGTGGTCACCTGGATGTTTCAGTGCAATTGTGTTAGAGTCACACTCCTTAGAGCGGAATGTGTGTCGTCTGCTTCAGTGTCTGAGGTGTTAGAAGTGAAAAATATTAAGAGCAACAGAGGGGAATTCCACTGCGATTGGGCAGTGGAATAAGACAAGGACATGTAAACATCCAGTTTGTGTCAATCAACCGATTCCTTTTGTGGCAGGTTTTGCTGTTGCTGTTTTATGGTGACTATATGTCCTGCATCACCTGGCCCGGTCTGTTCTGTTTAATAACACAGGTAAGCACGTTACTGCTAAACAAAATCTACCTTTCATATTTCAAAAATCCTTCATCGGGAATAGGTTTTCCACATTCACACTTGAAAAATATCATCATTGCATCTACAGCAAATATCTCTCACCTGTGGGAGCAGATGTGAGCATCTGTACACCTTAAAGAAGTTCATTATAAACAAAATCAAGTAACACTGCTAGGATATGGAAACAGCCCTGCCTTACACAGTCTGTCTTTATTTTTACCTTACACGTTTTGTCTATATTTTTAATAATAGGGATTTTACATTGTTCTCATCCAGCTAAGGAGTAAAATGGAGGGAAAATTTAACTTCTTGACCAAAGGTATTAACTTAACTCAATTCATCTATTTTGCAATAGTAGGAATACCTGACTTGCAAAAATATATTTATATATTTTAGAACAATGTTTTTCTTCATTAGCTCTTTGAGTGCCAACCAATATCCTAGGAACTATGCTAAAATCGCCAAGGCATTTTTGCTGATTTTACAGCAGTTTAGGAAAAAAATTATGAATTGCAAGTAAATGAAGTTACATATCCAAAAACTTAAGGAAACCTTTACTACATTGACATATTTAGCAATATCATCATCACTAACAAAAGCAGACTTAGAACTGGACGCCATTTCAAAGCTTTGATAGCGCTCCCGGCACTTTTGGCAAAAGACAGGAGGAGCGCGGTCGCGCTCCCCGGCACTCTAGGGGTTAAGCACTAAAAAGTTTATGTGGTGGAATTAATGTATTTCTAGAGCTTATTAAAAGCCAGAGTAATAATTATTTGGCATGTATTTGGCAACATTATTCAGTTGCATATAACTGATATATTTATGTGTGAGAATTATTAGACACACATAGGCATACCATCTATAAAAGACATGACACTAATAATTAAATCTTGAGTTATCAGGAGAAATGATTTATTGGGACAATTTGGAAGAAATCTGATCACAACCAACAGAGGGCAGTAGAATATATCTTAAAGCAACCATAATGCAAAACAGAAAAAAACACCAATATTTTGTTTTCCAATTTTTCGTTAGAGTTATAACAACCATATATCTACTTAATTATGTTCTTCTCAATAAAGATGATTAAGTAAAATACTGCTATATGAAATCTATGTTTTTATGACTAGCTTAACACATAAACTGATAACTTCAAATCATAAAAAAGAGAACTAGGAAAGCTTTTAAATTAATATACTCCTTTAGTATGCTGAACATTTTCAATAATATAAACAGGGAATTTATTGGAGCAGTTGTAGATCATATACAACTCAGGCAAAAAAAAAAGGCTAGATAATAAATCTTAAAATAAGGAAACCAAGTAAAAGTTTGTTTTGTAACATTTTCCATTAACCTAAGAAAAAGAAGAAATGCCAGCAAGTAATGCCTTTTACCAAAAATTGGCTGACTTATCCCCATAAATTCATATCTTGAGACCATGAGCAAGAATCATCCAGCTACTATAATTCCTACGATGCATAAATCCAGGAAATACCCAGCAGGGTTTCAATCTTGCAGATGTGCTGAGATGCACAGCATCGATCATTTTGCAGCCAGGAACGAATGCAGTTCAGGCAGGAAAAGCAAACACAACTTAAATGCTTTAGGAAGAATTGTTTAAAAACAAGATGGGCTTCCCAGCAAAAGAAGATTTAAAACCATGCCCACAAAAAGAGTACGGACCACCAAAGCTAACATGCAAACCAAATAAACAAGAAACCTGTAGTCTGCTGCGACTGCTCACCCGTTAAAGTAAGTTAGTTGTCAGCAGTCCTGCTGAATTATGGTGTGCCGAAGGCAGTGACGTCGTTAAATGCAACATCTCTTTATACGTGGAAATCCCAAATTATGGGTCACAGACCACTTACATCAGCATCACTTAAGCCAGTGGTTCTCAACCTTCTGGCCCTTTACATACAGTTCCTCATGTTGTGACCCAACCATAAAATTATTTTCGTTGCTTCTTCATAACTGTAATGTTGCTACTGTTATAGATCGTAATGTAAATATCTGATATGCAGGATGGTCTTAGGCGACCCCAGTGAAAGGGTCGTTCGAACGCCAAAGGGGTTGCGACCCACAGGTTGAGAACCGCTGACTTAAGGGGTCTTAAAAAAATGGGGGGCTCTTGGGACTTACACTACACCTATTAAACCAGAATCTCTAACGTTTGGAGACCAAGAATATGCATGTATTTATAAAAGTCTACTGAGTTTAAAAACTGCAGCCTGGTGGTCCTTCACAGCATAAACCCTGGAGTCACTATCTCTGAAACGTTACCCTCCATGATACCACTGAGCTGTATGACCTCGGGGATAGTATTTAGCCTCTCTGTGCCTCAGTTTCCTCATCTGGAAACAAGGGCTTTTCATCTAACTCAAAACTTGGGAGGAATGGGTCAAATCATATAGAGTGCTTAGCACGGTGCTTGGGCCACACCTGGTGCTCAGTAAACATCAGCTATCGTCATTCCTACTTTGCCACACACACACACACACACACACACACACACACACACGGAAGATGTCCTATGGCCCGCTGCGTTTTCCAGCACATCCTTCCCGATGCGATACTCACGGGGTTCGAGTGTAGCACGGTGAAGAACTCGGGGCTGATGAGGAACTTCACGGGGGGAGACTGTAACAGCAACGTGAGCCTGGATCTGGAGGTAGAGTGCGGCAGGACGTTCTCCCGGCGGAAGTCTGCGTGGGGCAGACCAGACGGGCGTTCAGGGAGAGCGGTCCACGCGACAGAAACATACCTATGCGCGTCCACCTGGGGACACCTTCATCACTCACATCACTCGCTCTATTGCTTTATCCCCCAACACTTCCATCTCTGATGTACATTCACACAGAAAACCTGATGGCTCTTCATTAGACTAAAGTGAAATTGAGGGTATTTCCGGTCAGTTCACACCTGAGTGCATCCGATGGTGTTTTACGTGACCGGACTCGATCTTTGCCCACCAGCCCACAGATCCAGAGATTAAAGTAATTTATTTCCTATGTGGGTTTGTGATTCTTTTCTCAGTACTGACACAAAGTCCAGGATTAAGGAGGAAGAGGTCCCTGGTGAATTCTACTTTTGGAGCTGGATTACCAGATCGTATCGAAGATCCAAAGTTCTCTACGAGAAAAGCCTCACTTTTTGGCAATCCTTACTTCATCTGTGTTCTGCTTCTGTGCTAGGACAGCACCCGCCCCTAGCCCCCAACCCCCACGCGCCGCTTGTACCTGCGCTGGCTTGGTGGAAGTCGGTCTCCTCCCCGGCCCCATCAATGGCGGTGGTGTTTTCCTCGGGCCTCTCGTTCGTCATGGTTCTGCGGATGCTCTGATACCTAAAAGCAGGAGCTTCGTCATATCACAGCAGCCCTGAGATCTGGGGCTCAACCCCTTCCCCGAGCCCCAAGTTTCCGCTGTCATCCCTGCCTCGGCCACTTCCTCCCAAACCTCCATCCCCTGACCGGCTAGGCCAGGGGTGGGCAAACTTTTTGACTCGAGGGCCACAATGGGTTCTTAAACTGGACCGGAGGGCCGGAACAAAAGCATGGATGGAGTGTTTGTGTGAACTAATATAAATTTAAAGTAAACATCATTACATAAAAGGGTACTGTCTTTTTTTTTTTTTTTAGTTTTATTCATTTCAAACGGGCCGGATCCGGCCCGCTGGCCGTAGTTTGCCCACGGCCGGGCTAGGCCATCTCTCACTTAAATAAATCACGTCGCATTGGATGTCTTCTGTCCATTGCTTGTGGACATTTTCCTAACAAATTTTTTAAAAATTGTGGCCATCACAGCCATCTTCCCACTTCGAATTCCTTCTGAGGTCCCTCAATAAAGAACATAGGTGAGCCCTGATGTAGCTCGGTAGGTGAGCAGCGACCTATGAGCCAGGAGGTCACGGTTTGATTCAGGACAGGGCACATGTCTGGGTAGTGGGCTCAATCCCCAGTGTGGGGCATGCAGGAGGCAGCCGATGAATGATTCTCTCTCAACAGTGATGTTTCCCTCTCTCTCTCCCTCTCTAAAATCAATAAGAGTAGTTTTTAATAAAGAACACAGGTGCACACTGATATAAGTGGTTACTGGATTTTATCCAAAGAACTTTTAGCCCAGAAATTGATCTACGATGGGAATTATCTCTCTCATTATGCAATTTTCTACAGTATGTAACATTATGGTATAAAAGTGTGTACATCAAATATAAAATGCTGTATATACTTAATTTCAATTATTGATATGTAGTTAAATCACTTAAAAGACATCAGTAAAGTGTCCTATAAGAGAAAAAACAATTGTGGTCCTTAACCAAAGAAAACTAAATCCCTCTGTTGTTCAAGAAGAAACAACTTTTTGCTCTGTAGCAATCAGTACCTGAAAAGGGACAGATTAAAAAGCTCCCACTGATAATAAGGATGCATCACGCATGAGCGGGGGTTCCAGATATTTAAAAATGTATTTGGCTTACTAAAAAGCAATGCCTTGGGTTGACAAACAGGGTCAGCATCCTACATTTCCTTTCCAGTTTCCAAACCAGCGGTGTGTGCGTGCGTGTGCACGTGTGTGTGTTTGTGTGTGCGTGTGCTGTAGGTGGTGGTGGTGTGGGGGGGTATTATTATTATTTTTAACCAAGATATGTTCAATAAAAACCTATGAATCAAAAGACGTAGCACCTACACCTTAATGACAGGACACACGGAGATGACAGCGAGACGCCCGTGTTTCCTGCCTCGCACCAGGTAACCATGAGCTCAACCCCAGCGCAGACCCGGGGCAGCGCGCGCCCTCACCTGCGGTTCAGCTGCTCCATCTGCTGGATGGAGTTGGACCTCTGCAGCACCTGCGGGGCGGGGGGTGCCGTGGGCCGCTGCCACGTCGTGGTCCTGTTCACGTGGTCCACGTAGAAGATCCTGCCGTGGCTGTCAATGCGCGCCTCCCAGTCTAGACAGCAGCAACGCACCCAGAGGGGTGAGGAGGAGCCGAGCCGCCCGCGTGGCCCATTCACTCAGCACCCGCTTCCCCTCGACACACTATCATCTGGGGCTACTGACACAGCCCTCCCCGCATAATCCACCACCTCCCCTCCGTCCGCACCTGAATCTGCTGTGTCCAGTTAGTGACCAGAGCCTCTGTGCACAATGCCAACCCTTTAAAGACTCTCTGAATGTACAGATCTGCCCACGACACTCATCCTTCAGAGATGAGCACTAGTATTTTAAAAATACAAGCCATTGGTATCCTAATGCTTTAGGTATTTCCATCAAAATTGGTATTGCTGTTTGTTTTCCCCAAAGCAAGATTTTTTTTCCTGTTTTCCCCCCAACTTACATAAAAATCTCATAGCTGGCCCTAGCCAGTTTGGCTAAGTGGATAGAGCATTGGCCTGTGGACTGAAGAGTACCAGGTTCTATTCCCATCAAGGGCACATGCCCAGGTTGCAGGCTCCAACCCCAGTAGGGGGCGGGCAGGAGGCAGCTGATCAATGATTCTCCCTCAGCATTGATGTTTCTCTCTCTCTCTCTCTCCTCCTTTCTCTATGAAATCAATTTTTAAAAAATTTTTAAAAAAATCTCACCGCTGGAAACTTCCACATGCATATTTACACACAATTTTAGTAAATAGTCTTCAGAAGGAAAGAATGCAACCCAGTCGGCACACAGCACCGCTGGCTCCGCACTTCCATTCACAGGTTTCCAAAGATGAACACATCGTCAGAGCGAGGGTAACTACTTGCCTCCCACCGCCAATCAGCACGATGTTTTAAAAGACTGTTTCACTGTATGCGTGAGCGGCCTCATTGATGAAGTGTGTGCGTCTTTGTAAACAAACATATAAGTGCATGTTCCGTGCACACAGCTGGCAGACGGGTCCTCGGAGCCAAACGCCCCAGCTCCGTGACCCTGTCCAAGGCTATTCCCCCATTAAAATACCCAGAGCGTGAGCTCATGTTTTCAAAAGGCAAAACTTTAGTCTCGGTGGCAGTCGGGAAGAGTAATTTACAGGGGAAAACAGCCGAGGTCTGCTCCTTAACCAGGTGAGTCCTCGCACATTTCTATTTCTATCCTCATTGTTTTTCCACATTAAGAAGCCCCTTTCTCCTAAGCAGCTTGATTATTTCAAAACGCTCCTGTGATTGCGCAGCTTATCCACAGACCACAGGCCTCCCCCTGGGGACCCGGCGGAAGCACGTCTGCCCCGACCACCATGGCACTGCTCTGGAGGCGAACGGGGCAAGTATTCCCCAAGTCCGAGGGCTGGCGAGGCTGCATGCGCCACCCCAGCCGGCACCAGACAATCAGGGAGGGCTGCCTGGGGGAGGGGGTGGGGAGGGAGCGAAAGGTCTTTTCTTCGTTGATCTCAACACATGGTGATGTCTGACATGTGGCAAACGAAAGGAAAACTGGGCTGGAGAAAAGCACCACACAGACAACACAAACCCCTCGAAGCCACTCAGGCCCGGAGGTAACAGACGCACAAGGAGCCAGCGAGCCAGCCCGCCCGGTCTGAGTTCTTCGGGCCCAGCCGCACCCCCTTCAACAGGACACTCCCAACCTGCCACCCGCTGAAGAGGAGCAGCCACAGGATCGATCGCGTTTCCAGGGCCCACTTTCCAAACCCTTGGGTCCACTCCGTTGTTTTGCTCTGCTCCTTGCATACGTTCCCATCCCAAATGTTTCTGAGAACCAAGTATTCCCATCTCGGCCCTTGCTCAGTGGAGCTGCCATACCCCAGGCATCCGCTCTACTATAACAAACCAAACCAAACGTCCATGGACACAAGCGGCCGCCCCTCCCCGGGAATGTGTGCCGTCGCTTCCAATGAAAAACAAACAGGATAGGTCACCTGGGGGGATAACAGAGCGAAAGCAACGTGCAGGAAGCAGAAGAGTGACGCTGCCGAGCCCCCCAGATAAGGTTATGACTACAATTTGGCTAAATTTTCTGGCAGCTAAAGCCGAAAAGTAAGCACATTGCCATTTTCTGACCAAAAAAAAAAGCAAAAAACTTGTCTTCAAAGATGGAACTTTTTCCTTGAACAAACTAAGTAAGAATTTTCCCCGAGAAATATTGGTCTGAAGTACAAAAGTCAGTGGATCAGATCTATGGTTCTGGAGCCCGGAGAGCAGGTCCCTGCCCCTTCGGGGGTGACAGGAAGGGGGGAAAAGGACTGGGAGGTGCCAGTGGTGGGGCTGGTGGCACAGGTGCACTGGTTTGGGGGTACAGCAGGCTGAGGTCCTCCCTGCCTCGTGTGTTTGAATAAAAAGTTGTAAAGGATCTCAAATAGCTGTATATTTTGTGCCTTGATCTTTAATTTAGAAGAAAGTCGCTTTTTAGATAAAAAGTATCCATTCTTTTCTCAAAACTCACTTTTAAACCCTAGAAAACAAGAGTTTCCTTAGCCTTAAACATAGTAGAAACTGTGAGATTAAACAGAAGATCTGAAGGATGAGATGAAGCGGTGTGGGGACAGGCCTCAATCTATTAACTCATCCAGTATCACATAACCACCCCCATCCATTTTTGCAGGTTGAACGCGAGGAAACAACGCTTACGAACTTTCCTCCCATTCATCAGTCACTCATTAAATCGGATATACTATTGCATTGCCTTTTTACTTCTGAAGAGATCCATTTATTCAAATGAACTACCAATGGCTCCTATTTTTAAAATCCTGAAATGTATTTAGGAAATGAAAAGAGCAGCGTGTACACAAATGCACTGACAGATCACAAAGAGTGGTCGTCATTTCAGCAGGAAAGGACCTGTCTTTTATAAAATACAATCTAGAGGCCGAAATCACAGTCCAGCAAAAATCAGAGCAACTGGATATGGTCAGGGGGCCGCCATCTATCCACGCAGGGATGCGATGCGAGGCGGTGCCTGCTCCAGGCCCCGTGACTCTGTTTACCTGCTATGCACCCACACATGCATCTACACGAAGCTCCTCGGAATTCGCCCCTGGTGTTCCCAATTCACTCTCCTCCCGTGAGATCTAAGTATCTCCCAGGAATACGTTTCTTTCCTGCCTCTGAGCTTTTCTCCAAGGGTTGACAATAAGGGAGTTCTTTCTCCCCCTCTCCCCCCTTGCTTATGATGACACAAGGATTAATCTCTTGGTTGATTTTTAAAAACTGCTTAAAATACATGTTTCCTAGGAGTAGCCGCCCTCGGCTACCCAGGTGTATGCACAAGAGATGTGCACAGCAGAATTTCAAACGGTTGGGCCAATATTTGGACAAACTGGACATAGCCCCACCCTGCTTTTCTGCCGGCACTCCCCGAACCTCACCACTCACATGTTGGCCTTTAAGGCATACTCCCCTGACCCACCCTAGGTCCCATCACTTTTAAAGTTAAGAAGGCCAAAGGCGTCCGCCTCTTGCCAGGATCACATATAAGATGGGTGAGAGGGAGTGACCAAGAAGGGAAAGCAATACGGTAGAAAAATGTCTTTTCCAACAATATGATCCCCAAAGCAGTGGCTACTGAGTGTTACTTTTGTTCATCAGAATGCTTTGCTCTCTGGGGGAAATACTGCTTTCAGGAATCCCGGGAGCGAGCACAGTGTTAAAATTATGCCCCGGTGACGCCTGGCCGTGGGCATCACTAGACCTGTGACTGCAGGTGTAGAGCTAGCTCCCAGCGTCCCCAGCCCTCAGCCTTCCAGGGATATGCGCTTCCTGATCATGGAAGAAGCGAAATATCTTTCAAGTCCCCAGACCACGGTCATGCTCCAAGTAAATGGTTAATGTGTGAAATGACGAACACCTCTCTGTATACGAGAAACCCAGGCGCCTGGACTTAGTGATTTAAAACGCTGCCAGTGAATGAACAGCCGTCTATCACACAGACAGGCTTTTCCTAAGAGACTGAACCAAACTGCCCACCAACTGAGAACACACGCTGCCATTAGGCGCACGTTAAAACATGTATTATAATCCCACTAACATTCCCTCCATCTGACATACCTGATTCTCTTCCCCTGAGGCACTACTTACTCCCCCGGGCACTACTTACTCTCTACCGTTCCCAGCTGCCCTTTCATTCAACAGCACAGAGCTCGACAGGGGTCACCTTCCATAGGGGTCAACATCCACACAGGGTCACCTTCCACAGGGGTCACCTTCCACAGGGGTCACCTTCCACAGGGGTCACCTTCCACAGGGGTCACCTTCCACAGGGGTCACCTTCCACAGGGGTCACCTTCCACAGGGGTCACCTTCCACAGGGGTCACCTTCCACAGGGGTCACCTTCCACAGGGGTCACCTTCCACAGGGGTCACCTTCCACAGGGGTCACCTTCCACAGGGGTCACCTTCCACAGGGGTCACCTTCCACAGGGGTCACCTTCCACAGGGGTCACCTTCCACAGGGGTCACCTTCCACAGGGGTCACCTTCCACAGGGGTCACCTTCCACAGGGGTCACCTTCCACAGGGGTCACCTTCCACAGGGGTCACCTTCCACAGGGGTCACCTTCCACAGGGGTCACCTTCCACAGGGGTCACCTTCCACAGGGGTCACCTTCCACAGGGGTCACCTTCCACAGGGGTCACCTTCCACAGGGGTCACCTTCCACAGGGGTCACCTTCCACAGGGGTCACCTTCCACAGGGGTCACCTTCCACAGGGGTCACCTTCCACAGGGGTCACCTTCCACAGGGGTCACCTTCCACAGGGGTCACCTTCCACAGGGGTCACCTTCCACAGGGGTCACCTTCCACAGGGGTCACCTTCCACAGGGGTCACCTTCCACAGGGGTCACCTTCCACAGGGGTCACCTTCCACAGGGGTCACCTTCCACAGGGGTCACCTTCCACAGGGGTCACCTTCCACAGGGGTCACCTTCCACAGGGGTCACCTTCCACAGGGGTCACCTTCCACAGGGTCACCTTCCACACAGGGGTCACCTTCCACAGGGGTCACCTTCCACAGGGGTCACCTTCCACAGGGGGTCACCTTCCACAGGGGTCACCTTCCACAGGGGTCACCTTCCACAGGGGTCACCTTCCACAGGGGTCACCTTCCACAGGGGTCACCTTCCACAGGGGTCACCTTCCACAGGGGTCACCTTCCACAGGGGTCACCTTCCACAGGGGTCACCTTCCACAGGGGTCACCTTCCACAGGGGTCACCTTCCACAGGGGTCACCTTCCACAGGGGTCACCTTCCACAGGGGTCACCTTCCACAGGGGTCACCTTCCACAGGGTCACCTTCCACAGGGGTCAACATCCACACAGGGGTCACCTTCCACACAGGGTCACCTTCCACAGCCCCTTCCCACCCCAACCCTTATCCTGGTCATACACTCATGCTTTAGGGTCACCAGGGTCACCTTCCACACATATGGCCACAAGGTAATGAAGGAAACAAAACAACAACAGAAGGAGGAGGAAGAAAAGGAGGGGCATACGTTAACTAGGAAAATAAATTACAGCTCGGACGGTGTGGCTCCGTGGTTGAGTGTCGGCCCATGAACCAAGAGGTCACAGTTCGATTCCCTGTCAGGGCACATGCCCAAGTTGTGGGCTCAATCCCCAGTAGGGGGCGTGCAGGAGGCAGTCCATTGATGTTTGTGTCTCGTCAATGTTTCTATCTCTTTCTCCTTCTCCCTTCCTCTCTCATTTGTGTCTCATCACTGTTTCTATCTCTTTCTCCTTCTCCCTTCCTCTCTCTCTCAAATCAATAAAAATATATATTTTAAAAAATAAAGTTCAGAATAAGAAAACCCTTCCCAGTTCTGAGTCTGTGCTATGTAGGCCGATGAAACTGTCCTTTGATTTGTTGGTGCATCTATAATGGAACATTGTTTAAGGAATCATCCTATTGAGCCACATTCGTTGACACACAATACAATTTTTATGTGTGCATTTGCACCCCAAGACACTCAGAGACACGGCAAAAACGTTACACCTGATGCCAAGCCCACACTCCTTCCTCCTCTGAAAGTCTCACACGAGCAGGTGAACCTTCAGGTCCCTGAAAACCCCTGCGGGTCACCCTGACCTTGAAGCTGCCGGCCTGCGTGGTTTTGTATCTACAAACTCCAGTCCTAACAGAGATGCATTGTGACGCTTGGTTTTGCTCTTATGCTGCCCAGACAAGGGCCTTGTTGCTGCGCATGTGTGGGCCCGTGCAGTTCTCACCTGTGCACCTGCCCTCGGGCATCTAGGCCCTCCAGGCCTGTCCTGTGTGGACAGGGCTCCCCCAGAACCCCCCCCCCCATGGGCCATCCTCCTGGGGAGAGCAGGTCCCCATAACGTATTCCTGAGGCGGAGCCTCAAGATCTATCATCTGAGTCTCAAGACTTCTTTGACAGGCCTCTTATCTCAGCATAAAAGGTCCATTGAAAAATATTAACAACGCTAACCACTGAGCCCCGGGGTGAAGAATTCAGGCCACAGTCAGCCTGCAGCATAACTTGCATTAACGGACAAAACCATCAGAGGCCTCTCTGGGCAGGCTGCTTGAGCCAAGCGCCATGCTGTCCCCCACCTCCTACCTCCAGTGGCGCCCTCCTCCTGGGCAGCGGCCCCTTCACCAGCCGCCTGGGCATCGCCGGCATCGCCCTCTTCCCGGGGCTGGCTCTCCACAGCGGCAGCC